GGTGGCCCAACAGAAGCCAAGATTTTAACTGTTCGAGCCGACATTCCAGGATGGTGACGGCAAAATAACTACCAGCCAGGACCCCAGGGTTCACGTCTGAATGCAATGGGATCTTTATTGATCACGTGCAGTGTGGATTTCGGTTGTACATCTCAGGCAAAAGCATGGAGCCACAGGCTACAGTCCAGAGGTCACTGAAGTCCAGGGAAGGCTTTCACTGGACATGAGCGTGCCCCATAAATATCCAGCCTTTCCCTCGGCCCCAACGGCTTCAGTTGTAGTCGGTTCCAGCTTCCTTTGTGGCAACACCTGCCTTTGGTTCCTTTATAGGAACATTTGCTCTTCACACCCAGAGCACGGATCACTCTTATTTTTCTAAAACATGGTCTTACGCCCATTAGCACAAGGGTTGCAAATTGCTAACACCAAGCCAGTGGATTTCTAGTGATAATAGAAATATTCCTCCCTCTTTTTCAAATGGGGCTCATTTGAATCCAACCCACACTTGGATTTGCTATTCTTTGTCTGCTTCAAGATGCTGTCCCTTGTGCCAGTCTCTTGGTACATACTAAGGCCAGGAGATACTGGAGAATAGTCATGGACCTGAAGAGGTGAAAAGGGCTGGAAGGTGCCAAATTCATAGCAACGTGCCCTGTCCTACCTGTTTGCATCGATACAGCCCACAGGAGTAGGAAGTGCCTTGACATGGAAAAAAAAACAGAAGATAGATATTTTTAGTTGAACTCTTTTAAAATGCTCCATCCCATGCTTACTCCCCCCTTCACAGCCATGGTGATTGTGCCATTAGAGATCACAGGACAGGTCCTGCCCTTGGCAACCAGCTACGCAACTGAAGGCAGGATGGGGCATGGCGGAGTTTGTGCCTGCCAGCATGGGGCATGGGAGGGAGATGGTGCGTGGGGTGAAGTCCTGGCCCCACTGAAGTCACAGTCATAAAGAGGAAGGGCTGGAGGGGACCTCCAGAGGTCATCTAGTCCACCCCCTGCCAGAGGTGGAATTGAGCCACTGGCTTCAAATGATTTTCACACAGGGACATTTTAACTCACTGCCTACTGGCAGGGACCTGGCATCTGAAATGCCCATACTTAGTTTTGCCAGCAGGGTCCTGCTCTCAGTGGGACGACCTTATTGATCTGAAGGATGTTGATCAGTTGATCAAGTTTGGAGTTTTACTTGTAGTCTGGAGCTTTTCAATCATCCCTGAGATGATCTAAATATGTACGTGCACACATGCACGTCTTTGGGATTCAGTGAATTCCTGACACAGAGAAAACTCTCCAGCAAGTCCTGTCCACAGCACTCCAGGCTACACATCTTGTTCGACCTGGGAGGAGGCCAGACTTCACACCCAGCCTGAATCCAGAACCCACAATCTCTCAGCGGGTCCTGTATTGCAAACCAAGCTCTTCTGTTCCCCAGCTTTTGCCATTGCTGCACCAGAACCTCTTCCTGCTACAAGGTTGTCTCAGGTGAATCTGTCCCCTTTTGGGCGAGCGTGGACAAGTGACTACCCAGCTCCTTAAGCAATGGCCTCTGGAGCAATACCGAGTGGCTGTGGAGGGGGCTGGGTGTAGCTCCGCTCAGCTAGAGAGAAGCTCTTTGGAAAAAGAGAGGCAAAGACAATGTGCGGGACGTCCCATACATGGAGGTGGTTTCCCTGGTGCACTTACTTATGGGTCATTCATTAAAATTGTTTTTATTCTTCCCAACTTTCAATAAACTGCAACCAATACTGATCTACCTCCCTCCTCAGGGAAACCTTTCTCAAGTTCACATCATGTCCCCAAATTAAATCTCCCTTGATCTTGACACGGCCTGTTAAGAGCAGGGACTCTCTTGTTCTTTTGCTGCACCCAAGGCAATCAGTGCCTCTGGGGCTGATTCCAGTGCCCGGGCGCTGAGCGGTCTGGGGTGGGGTGTTTGTCTTTCAAAGGACTTACCGTGCCACCTCGGTGGAGATTTGAAAAATGGACATTAGGAATAAACAAGACTGGCTGGGTTTCCAAGTCTGTCTCTGGCCGGAGGAACGTGATTTCATTCCATCTGAAGCCAGACAGCAAACAGCCTTTCAAACCTATGAATAAAGAGACATCTCATTCCAGGAGACGTTCGCCATTCTGCCTTTCCCAGCCCTGCCAGGGCCGGCGGACGACCATCTCGGCCGGTTCCAGGAGGAGGGTACCTGCCCCACGCCAACAGCTGCATATGGTGCAGAGCCGTGCAAGCTAATGCGTCTCACTCCCGGCTTGAAGGGACCAGTTGGAGCTGGCCTTTCACCAGGCCCGAGGCTACCAGCCCAGCCCATGTAGACTTCCAGCCAGTAGGCAGAACTATTTCCCTTGGCTGGATTTGAACTGACACCCTGGAGGAGGTGGCAGTGACAGGGAACAGCACCCGAGCCTTGCCCTGCCTCCCCCTTTGGGGCATTCTCGTGTATGAAGGATTTCTCTGTCTTTTGTTACCCCCGCTGCACATTGCCTCTCTGGCACAGGCCCTACAACAACTTTGCCTACAAGGAGGGAGATGCCCATGGTTGCCATGAGCTTTAGGTTAGGCCTCTTGCTACGTGCTGGTCACAACGACTCATACTGACCATTGTTGTTGGAGTCCGGGCATTTCCCTTTCCTTCTGAACTGCTTGCGCTCATCATCCCGCATCTTCCTCTCTGCTCCCTGCAGGAAAGGTTAGGGAAACATTAGCGTCACCATCAGATCAGCCACAGCTGGGAAAGCAAGAGGGCAGATCACTTATCCGGGAGCCCAGGTTGAATCTGTGCCAGCGCTGCACGGCTCCCCCGTGTCTGCACAGGCCACATGTCTTGTCTTTGCTTTCAGAATACTATGATTAGGCTAAATTGGCTGCTGCAATAACTCCTTCACTGGATTCAATAAAATCATGACCCAGCAAAGAACCGGGTCCATTGTTTTTTTTACTGGGCATGTACTTCATAAACCAGGGAGCAATAAAAACACGGTAAACACTCCTGCCCTTTGTGACTGGAGCCCTCATATGGGCCTCTAGCAAACCAGGGCAGAGAAGCCTGCCAGCACTGCTCATCTCCCTTCTGTTCACACAGACACCATGGTCTGTCTATCAGGGCTCTGCAAGATTTGGAAAGACTTAGCCAAAAAGCCCAGTGAAAAGTAAGGCTGGTTAGCTCATGTAGCCCTGCTCATTAGCAGACCTCTGAACTCTTTTCACAGGAGGTCAGAATAATTATCCCCATGTTACATATGGGGAAACTGAGGCACACAGAGGAAGTGACCCGCCTGAGGTCACCTGAGAGGCTGGTAGCAGAGCTGGGAACAGAGACCACATTCCCCGAGTCCTGGCTCTGTGCTCTGTTCACGAGTCTCCCCTGCCTTCCTGCCGACTGAAACGGGACATTTATCTACCCAGCACAGCGGCATCCGAACATCTGACCATGCACTGGACCGATATTGGATTGGAAAACATCACGATGACTGGAAAACCAGTGAACAAGGACACGGCAAGAGCTAAGATCAGCTGAAAGGGGAAGGAATGCCCTGCTGGATGCTTAATAAACAGTCTTCATTAGTCCCTGTTTAATTAACAACTAGGATAAATGGGAGCCCCTTGTTAAAAGGATTCCAACTTCCTTAGGTGCTAAAACTCGCAGATGTCCCAGATGCTTCTCAGGGGCCATCCCAGGAGACAAGACAAAGCTAAATTGAACCTGCTCAGTGTTTCCAAGCATGCAACCATCCATCCTTTTTGAAAAACAAACACACATAGGATGATGAGCAGGGACAAAAGCCTCCGCCAGTGAGAGCTCCAAGACCAGGACATCCCATTCCTGGAGTCAGATAAAACTTGACAAGACTAGAGAGCGAGGTACAGGGCAGGATCCCACGTAGTCCAGGGGTGGGGAGATGCTCTGATAACTTCCATCTCCACCTTCTAGCAGTTTGGCAATACAGATACATGTGGATTAAGTCGGGGTATGGACCCTGTCCACTCGGGAACACTGTCCCTCGAGTCACTTGGGCTCCTCATTGCCTTTCATCTCTCCTTCCCTCGCTCCAGGCTCTTTGGGGCCATTTGCCATCAGCATAGCGTTCCCTGCAGGGAGCACCCCGACGGGAGAGAGACGCCGTACCTTATCGCAGAATATCTTGATCTGGCAGACAGCTCGGTGCACCAGCCGGCTTGTCCCACTGCTGCAGTCATAGGTGTCAATCTGGAGGTTCAAGGGGACGCCCTTCACTCCCTTCTGGGAGGAGAAGTCTGTGCTCAGGCAGTTCACCCCAATGAAGACCTGTGGATGGGAAGGGAGGAGGTCACAGCTTTGGGGGACGTGAACCTGCCTGGAATCAGTGGGATCTTAACTGGCAGCGAGCATGACAAGAGGCAGAGAGCAACCCACTCCCGAGGGCTTCATCCTTCCTGCCTCCCCAGCCTGGCCGCAGCATGCCCATGCCCCTTCTCCCAGGCACCTCCTATAGCTACCCCGGTACACCACAGGCCAGATTCTGTGCTGCTTTGCCCCTTGTGTGTCCATTTTACAGCGGAGACAGTGCAGTGCCACTATTCGGACTGAGCAGGGAAGGCACTAAAGTAAAGCCCCAGTGCACAGACCGCAGGACGAGAGTGAAAGCTGGCAATGGGGAATCACCCCTCTCGTGCTCCCCACGTGCACGTGCCCAGCACCCACGGCTGCAGTACAGAGACCCCCCTACCACTTCCTCTCCCACCCACCCCTCCAGAGGCATGCTTTGACGACTGATGCTCAAATGAGGTTGCAACCTTTTATGTACAGTTCCAATGCTCTCTAACTCTCTCCTAACTCAAAGCCTGTTGAATCAAGTGGGAACACTCCCCTCGCTTCACCGTGCTCTTGGAGCAGGCCTCAAGTGTGTTCGTGTTCGTGTTCGTGTTATGATGGATGAGATTTCCATTCAGCAGGGACGCTGTTCTTCCTGCTTTGTTATACGTGGACTGGGACCAATTGTCAGGGTCCAAGGCACCATTGCTGTCAGGCTGACATTTTAAGTTATTCCTTGCTGTTAAATAAGTAATTTCCTTTGAGTCCTATCTCATCCATCACTGACATCTAACTGTCTGGGGGAACGCTGAGTATGGCCATGGCCTGAGTCCTGTGCCCTTGTCTCCTCCCTGCAGTCTTGGGGACCAGACTCTAGGGCCCAATCGCCAGCTGGTGCAAGTTGGCACAACCCCTGTGCCCTCCATGGGGCACTCCCTGGAGGTCTCAGCCTTGAAGTCTATATTAGCAGCTGTTAGCAGGGTCTGCCGTTACATGCAGAAAAGCAGCCGCTTATCTGTTGCTTAAGGCAGAGCTGCCTAAAGTAGTAGCAGGTGCTACAGACAGTCCCAAATGCCTGGCTTCTCCTGTAGCAGCTCCCAGCCATTTCATCTCTCCCAAGTCTCACCTTTAACCAACCCCAGGCTAGTTCACGAACACAGTTTCTGGTAAGAGCTGAGCAGCATTTGCTGCGGTGCCCAGAGGGCTTGCTGCATGCCTGGCATATTTCCATTCCTGACAACTTTGCCTTGGAGACACTTGTTAACCTCTCAGGTTGTAAAAGACTGCGGTCACCTGAAGAGAGGCTTTGCTGCGATCTCAGAGCAAGGCTGAGTTTTCCCACTAAGCTGCCAGGTTCAGCCGCTGCTTTTTTTTTGCATGTCTTCCCCTCCTATTTTTGTGTATACATATTTCACCTTCAGATGGAAACCAATAACCCAGAGTAAGAAGCAGCACTGGGTTTGAGCAAATGCCTGGATGGGGGATGAGAGATGAGAGCTTTCCAGTGTTTAGCTAAGAGGTAAGAATTATCATAGAGTATTTAGGCCAGATGGGATCACTGGGAACAACCTGTCTGACTTGCTGCATAATACAGCCCAGAGAATACCCCCACCCCACCCCACACACACCATGTCTGCACCCAGCCCAGGCCTCTGGAGCAGAGTTTTTGTTCCTTAAGCTCTGTTTTGTTTTTTAAATAGGCTTCACCTACATCCCCAGGGCCCTGGTCTGTGCTGCACACAGCACAAAGCTTTTTCCAGATTTTAAAAAATCCATCAGCACTAGAAAAACAGATGCAAGCCTGTCTCAGGTGTAGCCTGAATGTTTATTAGCTCTTGGTGATGCTTAAACACACAGAGAAGCACGGCAGCCTCCCCCGGTGTCCTGGTAAATAGATACTCCCTGTGGTCAGGGGTCTGAATTTGTTTGGATTTGAAACTTGGTCTGTATTTCTGCTGAGAGGGGGAAAAAACCATGTTCAGCTCGTAGGCAGCTGGACTAGAGCAGTGATGCAGAACCAGCCCCCTGGGTCCCCCTGGGTGACCAGGCCCTACCTTTGCTTCTTCATTAATGTTCCACATGAAGGACAAAGCGTTGTAAGCCACCTCCTCGATGTTCTGCACCGTGTTGAAGTTTTCTTTGCAGTCAGCTGAAATGCAGTTAACGAGCGATTGACTTTTGATTGCAAAGCGAGAGTCTGGCTTATGCTCAATATGCTTCGCACATCTCAAGGAACTCCCAGCCACTGATCCCAGAGCGCCAACCCCGCCTCCGGCCGCGCACAAGGCACGTTTCATCCCCTATGCTGCTAAAAAACTGCAGGTTAAGGCATAGGCCAGAAGTGTCCCTCCGGTCCTGATGGGTTACTGCCTGCCCTCTGGCATAGTTACATCTGTGCAAAGTGATGTGGGGACTTTGCTAAATCAAAGAATCAAAGAAACCATGTTCAGGACCTGAGGGCACAAGAATCAGAGCCAAGGGAGTGGAGCTTGCCCGTAAATACCCTGCTAGGGATACTGCCAGCCTGGGGGACCCCCAAGGAGGCACAGACCCTGCAGTTCATGTTCACGCAGCTCTCCCTGAAAGGAGGCAGGGTGCTGGGGCTATAAGGGCGGTTCAGGGAGCTCTGGTGGGAGTGCAGCGTGCTCCCGCTGAACCCAGCTGTTGGGTGATCACTTCGAGATGTGCCAGCTGACACAATTCAGAGCAGCCAAGAAGGCTGCTCCACCGGCAGCGAGGCCAGTGCCAGAGCAGAGTATCAGGGAAACCGCTCTACTGACCCCTCTGAACTAAACGCAGCAGAGGATCCGGCCTCTGGTCTCCAGCCCTATGCATTAGGCCACGTTTGAAGCATTGTGCTGGAGGGACAAAACACTGGTCAGGTCAAACTGAACACATTGCGGGAGCAAGGGAGCAGAGACCCTTCCTTCTCGGACTTCTGCGTTCATCCTTCACCTTCAAACCCCGAAGCCAAGTCTCTCCCAGAAATGTAGTTCGCGTATTATTCATGGAGTTGCTTGCACTAAGAAGGACCAAGAGCACCCCCCGAGCGAGGAGTCCCACTCCTTACCAACGTCGATGACCCTCTGCTTGGCCGTGGGCTGGCGGGAGTGCCAGTGCTTCCAGAACTTCAGCTGCTCTAGCGGGACCTTTTCGTTGTCAAAGACGATCATAACAACACTCTACAAAGCAAGCGGGAGAGCTCCTTTCAGCACAGGCGGAGGGGCAATGCGGGCCTAGACATCCATGTGCTGGACAGAAGGGAATTAACATCCCTCACTTCTCTTATTGCTGGGAAAAATGAAGCCCAAAGCGTGGAGAAGCAACTGGAACAAGGTCACATGGGCAGTCAGTGGCAGAGTTAGCAACAGAAACCAAAACTCCTGCCTCCAGTTACCTGCTCTAGCAAGACCATCTGCTCAAGACCATAACGCTGGCTCCTAATGGCCCACTGATAGTGTCAGGGACCTCAAACGGTATGGCCTGGGGGGGCCTCAGGGGTAAAGCCTTACAGTGCCATTAACCATTACAAATGCTCTGCAGTTACACAGAACCTTTCATCCGAGACGTTTCAGCCCTTTACACCCATAGTGAGGCGCATCAGTTTACCAGCTTTGCAGCAAGAAGGCTTTGGAGCCTGGAGAACACCATGTCTCCTCTCCACCCCCCAGGACAAACCAGCCTCCAGCCCATTCAAGTGGATCGTTGTGCCAATTGATGAGGGCTAAGGCCAGTTTCTTTATAAGAACCAGACTGACCCCTGCGTCAGCATGGCAGGGAGGTCCAGGCAGCTTGTGCCCCCTCCCCTGTTTAGGGGCTGCAGGGAGTCACCACCGGCCTGGCACAGATCAGAGTACTTGGCAGGATGCTCTGCCTCATGCTCCTGTACCAGCACGAGGAGCAGGGGGAAGAGCAGGACTTCTGGGTGCCAGTTCAGTCTGTCTCGCACGGGCCCCAGGCTGCAAGCCCTCAAGTAGAAGCCCCTTTCGGGCACCAGCAACTCGACGGATCAGGCGGCGAGTTGGATGCCTGAGATTTCAGTGCAAGGCCAAGTCTGTTGTTGTGCAGCAAAGGATTAGCTGCTCTCAGCCAGTCGCCATCCCAGACACTGGTTTAAGCCAACACGAGCAACAAAGCCCTTACTCTTCACACTCAGATCTCTCCCCAGGCCAGCACAATTGCTGGACGTCTGTTTATAGCATGTGTCAGCGAAACCATCAGCTTATCTCTTACCTTGACTTTATTTGAGGACAAGTGTAAACATTTGCTGTCTCCAGCTGTCCGCAGGGTGATGGGGTAGAACTGTCCTTTGTTGAGGTAGGCCATTGGCGAGTCCCCAGATTTGACGTGAATGGCTTTGGGAGAGCCCAGCGTGTATTCAAAGTCACTTTTGTGGAACAAAGAAAGAATGATGAATAACCAGCCGATGCCATTTCAGGCTAAGAGGCGTGTTAGCCGGCTGCAGAACTGAAAGGATACAACCACCCCTGCTCTGCTCTCCCTCTCTTCTACGGCATCTCCAGAAGCGCAGATGCTAACACCGCTGTGCAACACCCCTTCTCTATTAGGTTCTCTGCTCCCCACCTATACGATGAGGATGCTTGTAGGTGTCTTCCAGTCCCAAAGGGACATCTAGTCCAACTGCCCTGAGCAGGGGCTGGATGGGGTGACTGCCTGAGGTCTGCTCCAGCCCTCTTAATCTCTGATTATCCTCATTTGCCAGCCTGCTGACACAGACAGCCAGAGCAGTTTTTCAGTAGGGGACTGATGTGCATGCTGCACTGGGGAGAGCTGAACTGTGCGGGGACGCCTGCTCAGCACCCCTGTGCTTCCCTGCATTTGCTGGCGTGCCCGATTCCAGGAGGAACTGCCCCAGTCTCAGAGGAGCAGCAGCGGGGCTGTGCTGCGGAGCTGCGCTCCAGACCAGAGCATCCCAAGGAGCTGGCGTCCGTGGCTTTGCTCTCGGCCCTTTCATATGAGTCCCGTTCTGGACCCCAGGCACTGCTCAGAGCCCTTGGCTTCCACACTCACAAAAATTCACCCCGACACTTGAAAACCAAACCCCACACAACAGAAGGTTTGTCCCTGCTATAGTGAGTGAGGGCATTATTTCAGAGCAGTTTATCCTTGGGAAAATATTAATTCTGTACGGCTGCCAAGCTCAGTGCCAGCTCCAACTGGCAGCTGAGCAAGTGAAACAAGGCAAATGTGAACTGCAGCCACGTGAACCGGAAAGCAGGAGACAAGGTGGGGAGGAGGACTGCAGGGTACCTCTTAATGCTGTCAGCGGGGTAACTCTCGGAGCACGGCGGGTCTGGCTGCGTTTTTAGGATGTCACTGAAGAGCAGCGACTGTAGGGAAGTGAAACCAGAACAAATGAGAGTGAAACTTTTGCTTCTCTCCCACCACCTGTGTTTAATAATAGCAGCCCCATAGCCCGGGGCCCAAGCCTGTGGTCCTGAGCCCTGCTCTTATATCCATCAGTGTCAATGCAAAGCCCCCTGATCACTAGCACTGCGCTGAGTTGCAAAGAACTCAGAAAGCCCACAACAGGACAGGAGTCTTTCGACACTTTGGATGCCCTTCGGGATCTCTGAATTTATCTTATAAACCTCATGTAGGTGTCTGCCAACATTGTCAGCATCCTTACAGGGCTCTCACGGCCTGAGGACGCTGGGGCACCCTGGCTGAGAATCACCGGCTTAGGCAATGCAGCTCACATGGACCTGGCCTTCACTGTGCACTTGAATAACTTGTACACCCTGGGGCAGAAGGGTGGAGCGGGCCAACAGGAAGAGGGATGGTGAGGAAGCCCCTTCCCACGTCCGCGTTAATCCGCCCACCTGGGATTTTCCTGCTGCACCCACCCCTCGGTGTGTCAACCGCCTCTGACTCCCGCCCACTGCAGACCAGAGCGATGCCAAACACACTCCTTCAGATGTTGTGCTGCGCACGCCCTCTGCTCTGCTGTTTAAAAATCACCATGGCATCTGACCCGGAGGTTTTGTCACTAGAACCGGATCCCCTTACAGCGCTTGGGACCCAGCCCCTGGGGACACTGCAGCAGGAGCAGGTCCCTCGCGCATTGCTGGCAGCCTGGGCTGATGACAAAGCACTGTGCTTGGCCATGCTCCTTTCTCTTTACATCACACAGAAGGGAAGCACCCTGGTTTTAGAGAGGAGGAATCTGGGGCGCGCAGCAGGGACGGGATCCCCCAAGGGCCCCCGACAGCCTGGGAGCAGACAACTCTGTTCTCTCGAGCCTCAAGCCCAGCCCACCCAGCAATGCAGCCCCGCAAAGGTCCTGACCTCCTGGGGGTCCTCTTTGAACGTGCTGTCCGGCTGCCACCTCTGCTGCGGGGGCACCACGTGTATCGTCTCGAAGAGGGAGTTCAGCGAGCCGCTGTCATACACGTCCCCCGAGGAGATCATGTAGTGCTCAGGGTTGGCGTCCAGCTTGCTGGTGCCCGGTGGGAGGATGGCGGGCTTGTGGGGAGCCTGGGGGATGCCTTCAAGGCTCAGGCCATTTTTCTTCTGCAGGTCGGGATATTCTTGGGTCACGGAAATGTTTTCAGCCAGCAGCTTCATGAGATGGGCAGAACTGTCGAAGGCCGAGATCTCAGGGTTGTACTCCATGCCGTGGCAATGCCTAGGGGAGAAGGATGCCGTCTC